AAAGTTAAAAAGCAGTAAGTTCGGCCGGGCCGAACTTTTAATACCCTCCACCATTTGCAACGAATTTGGAAATTTTCAAAAAATAAAATCCTTAAAAAATTCTGTTAAAATTTTCCGAATATAGCCGTTATTTTGGGGTCTATACGACGTGGACATACATAATCATTGTTTGTCATAAGCCATTACCATATTCAAATTCGAAACTTGAAATAAACGGTGAATAATGTAGCTAAAATAATCAAAATACCGAATATAGGGAGGTACCGTTATATGGGGGCTATACGAAGACCTGGACCCGCACAGACAATTTTCTGTCACAGACTGGAGTTCCCATAACGAATTTCAAATACCAATTTTAAAACAATTCCGGTGAATAATGTCGCTAAAATCATCAAAATACCGAATATCGGGAGGTACCGTTATATGGGGGCTATACGAAGACGTGGACCTGCACGGATAATTTTCCGTCTTAGGGTGTAGTATCCATTTTGAACTTCAAATACCAAATTTGAAACAATTTCCGCGAATAATTTCGCTAAAATCATCAAAATACCGAATATAGGGAGGTACCGTTATATGGGGGCTATATGAAAACGTGGACCTACATGGCCCATTTACGAACTTAACCTGCCTACTGGAAAAATAAACATGTGTGCAAAATTTTAGCCACCTATCTCAATTCATTCGAAAGACAGAGTGATTACAACAGACAGACGGACAGACAGACAGACGGACATCGCTAAATCGACTTAGAATTTTACGCTGATCAAGAATATATATACTTTGTTGGGTCTGATATGAGTATTTCGAGGAGTTACAAACGGAATGACAAAGTTAATATACCCTCCATAGTATGGTGGAGGGTATAAAGATATTACCTAATTTTTATACCCTCAGCCATATGACTAAAGAGAGTGAATGGAAATTTTCAAAAAATATATTGCTGCACAGAAAGATATACTTTTCAAATCCAAATATTTGTATCAGTATTAGGCCAGGTGCGAAAATGGATAATATCGGTCTCCTTCAAGTACCTTCCCCACAAAGGGTCCAAATTTTGAATAATTATTACTCTTAAAAATGTGATGTATGTGTTCGATTGTCTTCAAATTACACACATCGCAATATTTTTATGAACCCAAGGTCTGGTGTGAAGATGAAATATATCGGTCCACTCCTTCTGGTACTCCACCCCCCCCCCCCTCTAAGGGCCAAAATTTTGAAAATCCATGAAGCTTGGCACATCTTAATATTTTCAATAACACAAGATATGTTATGAATATATTAGAAATCAGTCGATTTCTTCTGGTACCTCCCAAACAAAGGGTCAAAGTTTCGAATAACCAAGACGATCACAAAATCCAAAATAAGCATACGTTTCTCTTCATATTTCACACATTCTCTTCATATTTCATACTTACACAATATCTGCTTTGAAGATGGGATATATCGGTCCTCTCCTTCTAGTACCTCCCCCACAAAGGTCAAAATTTTTAATACCCATGACGCAAAATTAACATTCGATTCCATTCAGACTTGGTACATTTCAATATTTCCCTTTACACAAGTTCTGTTATAAAGATGGTAGAGATCGGACCATTTCTTCTGGTACCTACCCCACATAGGTTTCAACGAACAAATATAGGAAATAAGCATCCAACTCTCTTCAAATCTCACACATACAAACATTTTGGTAAAACAAGTCTAACAATTTTCAATACTTTTCTCTATCATAAAATGCGAAACAAGTCAGCGATTCTTTACAACTTGCTATATTTAAATATTTCTCTTAACCAGAAACCTGAAATGAATATGGGATTTATGATTTCGCATAAAATTGGATATAAATGTTCGATTTTCTTCTTGTTTTGCCCATAGCAATATTTTTATCTGCATTAGATACCTCACGCACATTTTAGCATTTTCTGAAAATGATCACATATCTCATGTAAAGTGAAGGATGTAGTCGATACAGTCGAAACCTGTCACGTCGGGATATTTATATCCCATTTCTTCAGAATTTATTCTATAGGAGGGCAACAGTTTGAATAATCATGACAGAAGTCAAAATATATATGAATAATCGAACATTGACTGAGGGTATACATCTGCCGGCAAAACTGACTGATTCTTTTTTACTTCTTTTTTTCATTTTAGTCTGGAAATAGTTATACAAAAAGGTTATCTCGGTTTTTGACCTCTCGAATATATTTTATTATATTTACACCCTCTGGCGTAAATGTTCACTATTTAGTTTATTGTAACGAAAAATACATGCCAAATATCAAAGTCCTAGCTCTTTCAATTCGCTCTGTAGTCGATCAACGCTTATACAACAAGTGAAAAAGTATTAAGTTTTACCGGGGCGAACTTTGGTTACCTCCATCATTTGGAAGAAATTTAAACTTTTTCAAAAAAAGTCCATAGAAAAATTACTGCTAAAATTATAAAAATAACAAACACAGGGAAGTGCCGTTTCCGGTCTCAGGTTGTAGCCTCCATTAGTAACTTCAAATAAGAAACTTGAAACAATTCCAGTGAATAATGTCGCTAAAATCATCAAAATGCCGAACATAGGGAGGTACTGTTTTATGTGGGCTATAGCAAAACTCAAACCCATATTAAAATTTCTATGGTAGGATGTTTCTTACAAACCTTAACTCTGTCGGTACAGTTATATGAGGGACTATACCAAAACGTGGACCAATATATTCCTAATTTCAATACCAAAAGTTCTGCAGACCTATCACACATCATTCGTTCGGAAGCTAGAGTAATTTCCACAGAAAGACAGACGGACCTAGCTAAATCGACGTAGAATTTTATGCTGAAAAAATATACAGGTGAGATAAAAAAACTGCAAAAAAGTCAAGTTCCATAATTTTTATATATTTTTAAATTTTATTGAATGAAGCCAAAATATGTCGGAAATAGTATCAAATTTAAGCAAAAGTTTATATTTGTTCGAATTGGTCACCTTTGGCACGAATTATGGCCTTCAACGGCCAATGAAACCGTCACACGTTGCTCGAATGCTGCTCTGTGGTATTTTGGCCCATACCTGGCGAAGCGCTTGCTTGAGGTGATCGACACTTTGGCTTTTTTTGTCCCAACCTTGCTTTCCAAAAACCCCAGACACAATAGTCCAACGGATTGGTATCCGGAGATTTTAGTGGAGGAACCTCATTTTGTAAGAATTCTTGGGTGGCGCGTGCTTAGTGCGATATTGCCGAGTCATGTGTGAATGTCCAAGGTCTGCGGCCAAAATGTTTGCGTGCCCAAGGCTTTAATACATTCTCCAGAATATTTTCGCGATAATATTCTGGTGTCACGTTCGATTAATACGAGCGGACAGCGACCATTGACTGTTATGGCGGCCCACACCATCGCCAAAGCCGATGCTTGAGTTCTGATGGCCAATCGAAGGTACACATTTTCTGCTGACCTCTTTGGCAAGTATGTACGATCATTTTGTTTTGATTTTACAAACTGCTGGACAACAAATGTTGAAAACCAAATTCGGCAGTTCACAACTTTCGGCCAAGTGAAGCAACTCTTTTAAGTCTATTTTCGTTTTGGCTCACGAGCCATTTTTTGGCCACTGCGAGGCGGGTTTCGATCAAGTCGCTTTTTTTTACTTTTCGAACCATTTCTGCTGATGTTGCTGTTTACTTCCGTCCACTTCCTTGATGTCGAGCTACGCTACCAGTATCACGATAACGAGCGATGGTACGAGACACAAAAGATTTATTCACATTTAAATGCTGGAGTGGTGCTCTAACGATAGCCTCTTGTAGGTTTCCAGCCAAGAAGTCACACTATCACGCTTAAATTCCATCACGAATAACTTTTTTTCTGGAAAATTCTCACCAAAATGGTTTTGTAGGCTTGTAAACAATATAACGAGTTGTCACTGGAATAATTTTAACAGCTGTCGGAAGAGTGGCTTAGGAATGACAGCAGTCTGAAGTTGGTTGCAGTTTTTTCATCTCACATTGTATACCCTCTGTAGCCATGTGGCTGAGAATATAAAAACCCCACATGTTGACATTTTTCTCATAGAATCTATAGTCCATTTAATCCGCCAAACAATATCCGATAACCACCCAAAATGGTGGGCTTCTAACCTAACTGTATGCAAAATTTCTGGGGATCGGACTATAATTGCGACATGTAACTTGTATACAAATTATCAATCCGTCTTATAATACCCCCAACGCATAGTGTTAGAGGGTATTAAAGTTCAAAGTTTTATCTAAATGATCGAAATGCTGAATACAGGGATGTACTTTTGCAAGGGGCCGTACGAAGACGTGGACTTGGTTAAGCAATTTTCTGTCATAGGATGTTGTACCCATTAGGAACTCCATTCCACTCATATGGGGACTATACCAAAATATAGACCTTTATTGACATATCTTTTCCAGGATACAGTAAATTCGGGTTAAAATTGTGAAACTGTGATACTGAAAAATCTACATAAAATGATATGCTGATCAAAAATGTATGCTTGTGGGGTCTTAAATTAATTTTCGTAAATAACAAACAAAAATTGGGAGCTTAATAATTTTTTGTACATTTCGTATCTTTATAGATCACACTCCCTCACAATGTGACCCTCTTGCAGAATTATACGATTATAGCTTCAACTATATTTTTATAATGGCAAATTATTATAACTATTATTTGTTATTAATTTATTCATCCGATTTCCTTTATTTTCATTGTCAAACATATTCATGATATGACACGCTTAAACAAGCTTGCAAAATGGCTTGCACTTTGTTTTACATTAATTGTTTATTTTAATTGTGCACTTGTTTTCCGATACTGATAAATTATTGACTTGAACGAAATGGTGGAAATGATTAATCACCTTTGGGGATTCACCGCGTCCAAATGGTTTGCGAATGTTTATGGATTATTAAAATTCGCATTCACATGTCCCTTATCTTTCTGATATTCGAAATATCTCTACTGAAACTTATGACGATAAGAAATTTTCAACTTCACACATCGATGGTAAATATTTATTCTCACACACTTATGGAACTAAACAAATTACTGCTACAAATTTAAAATAAATACTTAAAGATACTTAACAATGGCAATTGAAAGAGGAATAATAATTATCCCCCTACCAGCTATTGACCCAAACGATTATAGGAAGATTTTGGAGCAATCCAATGCTTGCCCAGTGCCTTATCTCTCGCCTTATCCCTGATCACCTTACCACTACCAGTCTTTGGCAAATCGTCGAGGAAGAAGACGCCACAATGCAGGTGTTTGTGGGCAACAACCAAACGCTTGGCCACATACTCAACTACGTCCTGTTCACTGAGTCTACTGCCGGGCACTTTAACAACGGCAGCTGCAGCAGCATCCCCATCTACTTCATTCCATAAACCAAAAACACAAACTTCCAAAACATCTGGTATTTCGGCCACGCACTGCTCCAACTCCAATGGCCAATATTGCATGCCATGGAAACGCAGAGAGTTGCACTTGCGATCCACCACATATAAATAGTTGTCCCTGTCAAAGTAACCCAAATCGCCAGTGTGGAACCAACCCTGATAGTCCTGCATGCGTTTAGATTCCGAAGGATTGCCATAATAACCATTCCACACTTTGCCCGTGTGTACCATTATTTCACCCATCTCCCCATGTCCCAGATTGCGATCGTTTTCGTCAACAATTCTCACCTTGACACCGGGTACAATTTTACCCACACTATTTGGGTGGCCAACACCCATGTTGCCAGCAACGCCTCCACACTCGGCCAAAGCATAGCCATACGAAATTAAGCCATTCGTTAGATAATCCTGAAGCTTTAACAATGTCATAACCGGAACATTGCCACCCGAAATGCTGATGAATCGAACACTGCTCAGCTTGTCCTTGGTCAAGATATTGCACTTGGTCAGAGCGGCAACACAGGTGGGCGAGAGGGTGAGCAGGGAGATTTTATATTTATTTATCAGCTCCAATAGATATTCGGCACTTGGCGGTTTATTGGTAATAATGCGAGTGGAACCATGACCACAACTGAAGAGCATATTAAACATGCCCGAGGATACGTCAATCGTACTGAAGGAGAAAAGGACATCCTGAGCCGTAACAAAACTGTGAAGAAGGAAAGACTTTAGAATATGAAAAAATACAAATTCACATCGAGTTTCACTCACCCATAATCAAAAAGGCACGACGAATTTGATATGCAGACATTTTTCGGCATTCCAGTTGTGCCAGCCGTACAAACAATTGCCACTGTTTGATCACCACCCTGTTTGAGTGTTTCGGGTCTGGAAAAGAATAAAGTTTAAATGTGTTAGCTACTACAATGTAATAAAAAAACTCAATATTTCAATAGCACATTTTTGGTTTCTGTCAAGCTTGATCTCAAAATACTGTCCAGTTAAATTAAGCTCAATGTCTGGGGGTTGAATTTTCCCCTTCTAGATTTTCGTTGACTTGTTTCGGGTTAAAATAATACAAAATGTTGATCCCTTGTGAGAGAGGTACCAGAAGAGGTGGTCCTGATGTGAATATGAATCACATCGGATCTCTAATTAAGAAAAAAATCTACCTAAACGCAGTTTGAAAAGATTCGCTGACTTGTTTCATATGTTATGAGAGTTTGAGTTATTCCATATTTTGACAAGTTGTGGGGGAGGTTCTAGCAGGATTGGACCCATATTTTCCATCTCCACACCAAATCGTATGTTAATAAAAATACTGGAGTATGTGAAATTGGAAGACAATCGGACTATTATTTCACACTTTATGTGAGTTTTCATTATTCCAAAATTTTACCCTTTGGCGGGGAGGTACTTGATTGGGTAGGCCGATTTAATCCTTTTTCGCAACTGAACTAGTACTGATCCAAATATTAGGATTTGCAAAGTTTGTACAAAATTGAGTGATCCTTCCTCTTTCTAAGACGTGGATTATTTTCCTTGAAAATTTTGACTTTTGTGGGTGAGGTACCAGAAGGAGTGGACCGCTATAGTCCATTTCCGAACTCGATCTAAGTTTAATAATAATATTACGATATACCAAGTTTGGATCAAATCGTATACTCCCTTAGAGAGTTATCGGCCAGACAGATGAACGGACATCCCTAGTTCAACTCCAAATGTCTTGAAAAGGATTTTGCGCAAAGAGACATGGCGTCTTAAACCATTATGTCGATGAGGCACATTTGGACAGCATCAAAGAACCTTTTTTTGGTTCATAAAATGTGGTGTTTGCGCGTTAACTTCCATACTCAAATATTTATGTGGGAGAGATATAACTAAAACATATTCTGCGATTTCAAGAGGAATATTAAAATATTTCTGGCCTCAATATATCTACCTTTCTGCTTCCCGACTCTATCACCTAGAAGCAACATAACTGCAAGCATACTTCGTGCTGCAGCTGGAGGATTGCGCATCATATGGATATCTGGTAATGCAGGGTTGGAAGCAGGTTATAATGCGTAAAGTTCAACTGGGCCGAACATTTAATGCCGTCACTTTGAGTAAAGAAAATCTTAAAAAAGGATCGGAATTGAATATTGCGTCCACTTCCACTTTTATATCCTCAGCTACATGGCTATCGAGGGTATATACCGTCGAAATTACGATTTTAGACCATGTGAATGCGGTCCATGCCTTCTGGTACCTCCCTCATAACGGGTCAAAATTCTGAATAACCAAACAGCCCAAATTCGAAAAAATCGATTCATTCTTGTCATTACATAATCCAATATTTTTACTAGCACAAGATTTGTTGTGAAGATGGGATTGATCGGAATACTCTTTTTGGTACCTCCCCAACCACAGATCAACATTTTGTATAATTATAAGCATCCTATTCTCCTCAAATTTCACACAATATTTTTACAAACACAAGATGAAGGATATCGGCCCATCTCTTCTCCCCTCAGAGGGTCATAATTTTCATTTATTCATCTCTCATAACTTACCTCGCATAACAATTCAGCGACACTTCTCAAATGAGAAAAAATGTTCTAAAATCATCAAAATACTGAATATCGGGAGTACCGTTGTATGGGAGCTGTACGATGGCTTGGACCTATATTAATCATTCTTCCGAAATCAATTTCAGGTGCAGAATTTCAAACAATTTCATTGAGATATATGGGGACTATATGATATCTTGGACCGATGGACCATCTTCAAACTAGACCTGCCTGGAGACAAAATACTGATCTGTACAAAATTTTGGCTTCCTACCATAATTGGTGTCGACTCTAGCATAATTGCAACAGATGGACAAACGGACGGACAGGGCTAAATCGTCTTAGAATTTTACATTGAGAGGAAATTGAAAAAAATTGCATATTCCTATGAAAAGATTGAAATGACGAAAAAAAATAAAATTTAATAAACTAAGTGAAGTAGACATCTGGGGACCCCTTTTCATACAAAATCTTTAGTTTTAGATCTTTTAGAATTTGGAAACTCAAAAAATAGAGCCATACATTAGGCAACTCAATTTTGATCGATAGACAGTGCATTTGGTTATGATATCAAAACATCTGGTGGCACAAATGCTCGTATTAAAGACTTGCTAGACCAACCATAACAAATATTTAGAATTCCGATATGTATAGCCATTCGGTCTTCTGATATGGCCAAAAGTAAATAAAGGCGATAGTAGGACACACGTATATACTTGGCCAATAGATAAACACATTGCATATTATTTTTAAAATGTTGAAGAGTAAAAAATGAAAATTAGTTGAAATGATAATAGCTCTGCATACCAAATGGACAGAATTGAAAACAATAAATGTTTTCTTATCGCCACGTTCTTATGTTTGGCCAATAAAGCCCATAGAAACAATTGGCCGATAAGAAATGCCCTCCAATCGATTATTAAAAAAAAAAATTAACAGACGCTAAATTTTTACGACAGCCCAAATCGCTAATTCAATTTTTGAAGTCCGTATTATGCTTTTATGATCTGAATTTAAGTAAAATGAAAATAATCCGCATATAATTAAGAGGTCAAAAATAAATATTGATGACGTATGTGGCTCTGTAGCATGGATAAACTTCGATGTGATTCATATCCTCAGTTGTAGTTAAAACTTCGTCCTGTATCCCTCAATAATTCAATGCTTTTCTGGTAACCGACAAGGATATTACTGTTAATTTTGTAGCGTTGAAATATATCCCAAATTCAAAGTAATCTCCTAACCGCTCGTTATCTGTGGTACTTACACATAAAATAATTCCGCATTCGTGGGCTCCAGAAGATCTTCGATTTTCCCCACATCCACACGATGTTGAGTCAATGTAAACATTTTCGCCTTCAGGATTTTACCAATGACAGCAACATTTGGATAAACGGCGCCATCACAGAAAATCACCTTGGGTCTCGTGCTATGGAATAAGTGTTTTATCGTGGCTGCAAATCATAGATAATAAACCTTTATCACAACCATAATTGGAGCGGGCAAAACCATGTTAAAAATACCTTCGTCATTCTTATGATTAATGGCATGGAATGGAGTACAATTGAGTAAGCAACCCAAGACCACGGGCATAAGATAGGTGGTATTGGAACCAACAATACCCACAACATCATCCTGGCGCAAGCCCATCGTTTTGAGATATTGGGCTATACGGATGCCAAAGGTCAGGGCTTCATTGTTGTTTAGGGCTGTGCCTTCAGTGTCGGATATCTGGAAAAATATAAATATCATGAAATATTACTTTGAACTCTGCCTACACACCCACCTGACATATGTTTTTTGGATTATTTCGCATGAAAGCGAAGAGAATTTTGCCTATTGAACAATCAGCGTCAAAGAAATTCGTAGCTTTCGGACCCGTCCATATTTTTGTATATTTATCAAATTGTGTGTGAAAGCGTTCCATTCCGAGTTAAGTGTGGGTATATTTCTTCTATTCGCTGCCAAACCGTTAACCTAATTGAGCGGTCTCTCTCTAACGCCAGACATTAGCCAACTAAATATTGTTTACTGGCCAGTTAACCGCCGAGAGTGTTACAAATACCTTAGATAAGGAAGCTATTGATTTTATAAGAGAATCCATATTGATGGACAAATATTCTTCCTCTGTCTCTCTCTATCTCTACTTTTCCTATAGTAAGCATGTGTTGGCTGTTTGTTTGATAAGTTATTATGGGGATAGTGCCAGAATTATGTTATCATTCCGTAACGAAAATGCCGATTTGAAGTGTCAATAAATTTAATTATTTTACTAATGTGTTTAAGAATTTCAAACAGACAAATTTTTTGCATTGATGCATTAGATTCAAAAAAAATAATAAAATGTTATATATCCTCAGTCGAATGCACACATTTTCTCTTCGGACGAAATCTATTTCAGGACATTTGGAGTCCATCCAAATCCAAGTTCTCTTCTTGTTCACACTTTTAGAAATTTTTGGATTAAGATTCCTTGGAGTGCATTTTGGAGATATAGAGTCTTCGGCCATATTACTGGTAACAATATTAGGATTATTTTGGGTTGAAAATCTTAACCCTTAAGCGAGTCATGAAAGTAGTGTTTTGAAAATGTATAGAAAATTTTGGATACATCAAAAATCATTGATTTAAAAAATGAATCATGTAGTCTCCACATAATGGTTAATCGAAATTATTTTTTGCTTTTAAGTCATATTTTCCATTTAATTTCGCCGAGTTTTGGTATTTTGAGTTATTTTATGTAGAAACGCTACTAGTCTGTCTGTCTATCTGGCTGGTGCGCACGATAACTCTCGGTAACTCGAGATATTATTATCAAACATATTTCAAGTTTGGAGACGGGCAATATCGGTTTACGTCTTCTGGTACCCCCACCCCCACAAATAGTCGAAAATTTTGAAAAAAAAAATAGTAAAGAAAGTCTGTAAGTCGGGCGGGGCCGACTTTATGATACCCTATACCACTTTGCTAATTTAGTAGAGCCCCACATAACAAATTTTTATGGAAGAATTCAATCATACACGCTATGATTATAATTATAATTTATAGTTCAAAGGACTAAATATGCCAAAGCATTTGTATCTCTTAAATTCGGACTTGTATTACCCATTTGGTTCACAATTAATTTGAAATCGGATCAAAATATATATGGGATCTCGATAAAATTTAGCAATTATATTTCTGAGCTGTATTTGATATATTTCCCCAAATATTGTTTTTATGCACCCTATATTACGCACCCTATATTACGGATGCGGAGGAAAAAAATAACAAATCGGATGAACAATATATATGGCAGCTATGGCTATTTCTGAACCGATTTCGATCAAATTTGGCATACTTATGTTCAGGCCTAATTTGGTTGTATGCGCAAACTTCCATACTATTCGGCCTGCTATTACACGTTTGGTGCACAGACGACGAAGATATATATGGGAGCTATATCTAAATTTTGACCGATTATCTCCAATTTCAATAGGGTTCGTTCTTGGGCCGAACAAATGATTTGTGCAAAATTTCTTCTGGATAGGGCATTAAATGCGAACTGTACTTTGTTTACAAAAATACATGGACAGACGGATGGACAGACGGACGGACGGACATGCATAAATCGACTCAGAATGTGATTCTATGCATATCATCAAAAGGAACTATGGGTCTACCTCGTTTCCTTTTGCCTTTTAAAAACAAATGCACAAAGACATAATACCCTGACCACCTTGTGGTATAGGGTATTAAAAAACATACTTCACAGAAAGAGAAAGGATAATCTAATTTTGCTGCAACTTTGAAAATCCTAATATTTGCATCAGTGCTAGGTCAGGTGCGAGAATGGACAATATCGGTCCATTCCATCATGTTCCTCCCCCAAAAAGGTTCAACATTTTTAATAATTATAACTCTTATAAAATGTGATTTAAGAGTCCGACTGTCTTCAAATTGCACACATCACAATATTTTAATTGACCCAAGGTTTGGTGTGAAGATAGAATATATCGGGCCACTCTTGGTGGTACCTCCCCCACGAAGGTCAAAATATTGAATTTCCATGAACCCTATACAACACGAAAATTAACATCCAATTCCGTTCAGACTTGGCACACATCAATATTTCTATCAACACAAGATCTGTTACAAAGATGGTAGAAATCGGACCATTTCTTCTAGTAAATCCGCCACAAAGGGTCAACGTTTTGAATAACCAAAACGATTACAAAATTTGAAATAAGCATCCAATTTTCCATATATATATTTACACATGCCATTATTTCTGCTAACACAAGATGGGATATATCGGTCCACTCCTTCTGATACACCCCCCCATATTTTGAGTGTCCATGAATCTCATAAAACGCGCAATTAACATCCGTTTGCTTTCAGACTTGGCACATCTCAATATATCTATCAACACCAGATTTGAAAGACAGATCGTAGAAATCGAACCATTTCTTTATCATTTCACTCCCCCCACAAAAGGTACAATTTTTCACAATAAATAATTTACAGCATAAAAAATCATCAATCGCTAAAATCATCAAAATGCCGAATATTGGGGGGTACGGTATATGGGGGCCATATGAAGACGTAGACCTGCACAGATAATTTTCTGTCTTACGCTGTAGTATCCCTTAAGAACTTCAAATGCCAAATTTGAAACAATTCCGGTGAATAATGTCGCTAAAATCATCAAAATACCGAATATCGGGAGGTACCGTTATATGGGGGCTATATGATAACTTGGACCTACATGGCCCATTTACGAACTTAACCTGCCTACTGGCAAAATATACATGTGTGCAAAATTTTAGCCTTCTATCTCAATTTGTTCGAAAGATAGCGTGATTACAACAGACAGACAGACAGACAAACACACAGACAGACAGACGGACATGGCTAAATCGTCTTAGAATTTGGGTCTGACATGAGTATTTCGAGGAGTTACAAACGGAATGACAAAATTAATATACCCTCCATAGTATGGTGGAGGGTATAAAAATGGGATACATCGGTTTGATCCTTCTGGTACATCCTCCACTACGGGTCAAAATTTTGAAGAAATTTAAGTCTTATAAAATTTAAAATGAGGATGCGATTCTTTTCAAATTTCACGCATCCCAATGTGTTTACTAACACAATAAAATGTAGTCGGCGCACCCTTTCTGGTACCTCCCCCTAAAAGTGTTACAACTTTCGATATTTATATCTTCCATAGTAGTGAAAAAAGTCAGCTCCTTCGGAACCTCCCCATAAAGGGACTGCTTTAAAATTGGCTTTGGCCTTTAAAGTTAGTTTTTCTTTCTCACTACGGAATTGGTTTCAACGATGCGCCTCGTACTATTTCAACTAAATCTATATCAAGTAGAAATCTATAGTACATTTCACCCCCTACCACACAAAAATTCCAAAATTTTGTTAAACTGATTGGATTCTCATGTGTGACCCAAAATAATGTTATAAAGTGACCATAGGTATACAAATATCTCATTAGAAATATTCCGAACAAATCGCTTAACATTCTGGCCACACTTTGTTCACATTCAGTTTTATCTTTATTTTCACAGGTGAAATTGTTGATACGTCAAAACATCGCTTACCGCCCGAAGGCCTGGCAAATCTTCACCGTTGCTTGGTTTTTTTCATACCAGTTTGGGATTTGTGGCACTACGAATGAACAAATAAATGAAATTTCGAATTTTTTTCTCACAGGAAGTTATCAATTAGGCTATGTTACATTGGACCATAAAATAAACGATAACAACGGCCAATGGCCAGTCGAATCAGCTGAAATGAAAAAAAAAAACACATCGTTCACAATTCAATCTGGGAATGTGGCTATGCAAATCTCAACAGGCGTAGAATTTTCTATCTTCCGGCGCAAATAGTTTATGGCGAAAATGTAACAACAATAATTTTAATGTGATGACAAATTAAGTGTTGTTGTTGTGGCTTTAGTTGGCAGCAACAGCAGCAGAGACATCATCTTCATCATCAGCCACGGCAGCAGCAGCAGCCGACAACGAGCCACGACAAGATAAATAGTTGTGGCCAACAACAAGCGGTAATAGTGAAGCAATGACCAGAAGAATGAGGTGGTTAATCCGCCATACAATTTGGTCCAATTAATCAGTTAATCAGTGAAAATAACGTGTTATTAAACGACAACCAACACATGTTAACCCAAATCAGGTGCGACTTGAACTAACCAGCCAGTCAGTCAGCCAGCCAGTTAGCCCGCCAACCGATGGCCGACTGATGTCCAAATAAGTGCACAGACATACGTTGTTGTTGCCAACATTTATGATCACCGATCACATGAAAATATTTACACTGCTCCACACCCCACCCAGGTGCGGGGCATCTTCGTCAGCATCAGCCTGGTTGGATGAATGGTGGTGGATTACACTCGACACGATCCTAGTATGTGTGGCAACCGGAGGATGATTATCTGAATGGCGGCTGGTTATCACAACATGCTGCCACCAAAACCAAATAAATTCAATCAGACGCCCAGACCGGTACATTTTACGTCCACGTCCGACATGAAAATAAACAGATCTGCGAAAACATGCTACCGCCAGTCAGCTGGTCAACCAGCCAGCCAGTAAGCGGTAAGCGTCACCAAAATATGTGCCACATGCAATCGACTCTATGGGTATTCCATTCCATTCCATTTTTTTTTTTTTTTTTTTTTGATTCCGACTTCTTTTTGTGATGCTATCAGATTTTTGTGTCTCTTGCGTTTCTCTGTAGTTGTGATAAAATCAAAATTAGTTTTGAAAACTTAAAAATTAGCCAAATCCATTTCCTAATGATCAATGGATCATGGAAATCAGACCGTACCACATGTGCCACCTCGTTCGAATACAGAAGCAGTTGGTGATTTTATGATCTTGTAAATAATTTGTTATTTATCGATTTCACAGTCAATATCAAGGTGGGTTGCAGTGGTCTGCCAGCCTGACTGGTGCATTGATTTTTGTCACTCGTGTTTTCGTTTTGTAT